TCCTCATCCGCGTCCCCATCCGCGTCCTCATCCGCGTCCTCGTCCTCGTCCTCGTCTCCATCCTCATCCTCGTCCTCCTTCTCCTCTTCCGCCTACTCCTCCCCCAACTCTTCGGACCAGGATTCTGGAACTGTTGGTCTCTTGGAACTCGAGGCAACTAACTTCTGGCAGCCAGTGTCACTGGCGGTTGGACCGGCCCGACGCCCGGCCCATCTGCCCCAAGCGGACCCCTTCCTGACGGGCATCCTGCGATCCGGCGGCCAAGCCAACTGGGCCATCATCACCTATCCTCTTGGCCTGGATGCACAGGGCCGCACACGCCGCGTCGCCGGCTCCGGGCAGCTTTTGGCTCCCCTGCCAACCGCATCCCCCTCGGCCGATGAGGACCCCTTCCACGCGATCCCCATCCAACTTCATGGACTTCCGGAATATCCCAGCGCCCTGGTCGTCCTGCATCCGGACTTCATCGGCATCATGCTGCTTCACTGTCCCCCTCGGGGGCTTGCATGCAGGCCCGGGCCTCGGCGAGTGCTCGCCTACCCGGACCCCAATATGTCCACCCATTACCGGGCTCTGTCGGTGGTCCAGCTCCCCGCCTCGGAGCCCGCGTCCTCCAATAGCCGGGGTCTGTCCGTGCCGCAGCTTCCGGCCTTGGAGCACCCGCCCGCTGGTCCCCCCCTGGCAGCCAGCTTGCTTGTCGTGGCGCCATCCTCCTCGACCGGGGCATTCCTGCTTCAGGTGTCTTCGGATGACTGCCCGCTTGGCACCTATGGCCCGGAGTGCCTGCCATGCAGCGAAGACTGCCTGGCATGCTCGGGGCCGGCCCCCGGCGAATGCACCGCCCCTCGCTGTGCCCACTATCTTCCCTCTGATCCGCTCACCTGCCTGGCCGCATGTCCGGCCGGTCTGCATGCCGATGCCAATGGCGCCTGTGGCTGCCACGCCGATTGTGCTGCTTGTCTTGCCACCCCGGCTGGCGATGAGTTCCTTTGCACGGCCTGTCCCCCGGGCATGGCGCTGGACACCACCGGCTCGTCGGCCGACCGGTGTGGTCCCTGCCATGCATCCTGCCAGCAATGCTCGGCTCCCAACAGCCCGACCGCTTGTCTGGCCTGCTCCAACCCCATGGCCCTTTGGCGCCCAAATGGAACATGCAGCACGGACAGCTGTCCGGCCGGCACTTGGCCCAATCGCCCGGCCGGAGTGTGCGCCCCCTGCTCGGGAAACTGTGCGCACTGCGACGACGCTTCGCGCTGTGGCTCCTGTGCCGAGGGCTTCCTCCTGGAATCCACCATGGGCGTGTGCTTCGAGTGTGCGGAAAATTGCGCCGCCTGTGCCCGGGCGCCGGACCGGTGCACCGCTTGCCCATCCGGGCGGCTCCTGTTGCTGGACTCGGAAAAATGCGTGACCACCTGTCCCCCGGGTACCTGGGTCGACTTGGTGCGATCCGCCTGCTCCAATTGCCATTCCTCCTGCGCGGAATGCGAGCACTCCGGCGAAGCCGGCGCCTGTACGGCCTGCCGCCCGGGCCAGGTGCTCCATGTGACCGGGCACTGCGTGAAGGAGTGCCCCAAGGGCTTCCGACTGGAGGCGGGCGCTTGCATCGCCTGCGAGCCCAACTGCGAGGAGTGCTCCGCTGCCGGGGCTTGTGACAAGTGCAAGTCCGAGCACTTCCAAGCCGACGACGGGTCCTGCTTCACGTGCCACTCCTCCTGCCGGACGTGCGCCCAGGCCGATGCCTGTGCCACCTGCCGCTCGGGCATGGTCTTCCTCCAATCCGATCCCAGCGTGGCCTCCCTGTGCGGCAGCACCTGCGCTCCGGGCGAGTATATTGGCACCGACCGGTGCACCCCCTGCGCCGAGGCATGTGCCATGTGTGCTGGACCCGGGGCAGGCGCTTGTCAGGTGTGTGCCACCGGGTACCGGTGGGCCGAGGCCGCGCCGGCCAACAACAAGACCGGCACCTGTGTCGAATGCCCGCCTGGCTGCACTTCATGCAATCAGGACAACGAGTGCCTGGAATGTGCCACCGGGCTATTCCTCGATCGCGAAGGCAACTGCTCGGCCGCATGCCAGCCGGGACACTATCCGACGGTGGAATCGTGCCAGCCGTGTGATGTGTCCTGCGCCGAGTGCGCCGGTCCGAGTGCCAGCGACTGTACCATCTGCGCCGAGGGCCTGGACCTGGTCGTGTCCGGCAATTCCATCGGGACCTGCTCCTCCGGCTGTCCCGAGGGCCAGTATCGCGATTCGACCACCGCCAGCTGTCGCCCCTGCCATGAGGCATGTGTCTCATGTGGTGGCCCAAGCGAGCGGGATTGTTGGCGATGCCGCGATGCCCTGCTCCAAGGGGACCAATGCCTCGAGGCATGCCTGCCCGGGCATGTGGCCTTGGATGACCGATGCATGGCCTGCCATGCCTCTTGCAGCATGTGCACCGGGGTCCGGAGCACGGATTGCATCGGCTGCCCGGGCGGGCTGCTGCGCTTCCCGGCCGGCGAGTCTCCCTCGCGCTGCGTGTCCTCCTGTCCCATTGGCCATGGGATCTTCGACGGGGGGTGCACCAAGTGCGGGGACCGTTGTGCCAGCTGCCCCGGCTCCTCGGCCGAGTGTGCCCAGTGCGAACGTGGGGCCCTGCTCTTCCAGGCCGAATGCCGGGACTCCTGCCCGCCTGGCACCCTGGCCGTCGGGGGGGTTTGCTCCGAGTGTCATCATTCCTGCGACTCGTGCTTCGGCACCGGGGACAACCATTGTCTCACCTGCAAGGAAAGCTCCCCCATGCAGATGGATGGCGTTTGCCATGCCACCTGCCCGGAGGGCACCTACCCCAGTGCCAATGTGTGCATTCCCTGTCACCACACGTGTGCCAGCTGCTCGGGGCCCAATCCCAACATGTGTACGGCCTGCCATTCGGACAGGCTCCTTGGCCTGGACCAAACATGCATCGAAGCCTGCCCCAGTGGCCAGTACGTGAAGGATGCCCCGGCCACCGGCCCCTCATGTCAGATGTGTTCCGGCGAGTGCCGGCAATGCAACGGGCCCCAGCCCGATGATTGCACCGCCTGCCCGGAGGGCTATTTCCTGGAGGGGGGCCGCTGTGTGGGCACCTGCTCGCCGCGGTACTTTGCCTGCACTCCGGAGAACATGTGCGTCGCCTGCCCGGCCGATTGCACCGGCTGCGTGCATACCTTCGACTCGAGTGCCCCGTGCGCCGTCCGGTGCACCAGCTGCGAGGAGGGCTTCCTCCTCTCAGCCGCGACCGAGCTCTGTGTGGCTGCCTGTCCGGCGGGGGAGTTCCCCGACTTGCAGGCAGCCGCCCCCCCGACCAAGTGCACCTCCTGCGATGCCAGCTGCGGCACCTGCCATGATCGCCCGGCCAAGTGCACCTCCTGCGCCAATTCCTCTCGCTGGCTGCGTGCCACCACGGGCGAGTGCTCGACCATCTGCCCGGGGCTTCGCTTTGCCGAGTCCCCCGTCGAGCGCGTCTGCCTCGCCTGTCCGGAGCATTGCCTTCAATGCGCGGCCGGGCCCGACACCGCGCGGTGTACCCTCGCCGCTGACGGTCAGCTGAACTGCCCGACCGTCGACTCCTGCACGCACTGCGCCCCGGGCTACTTCCTCCTCGACGGCCAATCGTGTGTTTCCAAATGCCCGGTCGGCTTCTTCGATGATTGGGACTCCTCGCCGCATGTCTGCGGCGTATGCCACGCCAGTTGTCCCATTTGCACCGGCCCGAACAAGAGCGACTGCTTTGGCCCGGGCTCGGGTGGATCTTCGAACAACCGCCGCCTCGGTATGGCCGCATTTCGTTCGGTCCTTCCTGCCTTTTTTGCTTTCCCCCTCCCCCCCTCCCCCCCCCCTTCCGGCCTTCTCGCCCCTCTTCCCACTGCCTCCTGGCTTCGCCGCTGCCGAGTGCTGACATTGCCGATGTGTGCCCCTCCGCCACCCGATGCTCCTCGGTGACCCAGCCCTCGGCCTGGGCATTGGGCTGGGGCTGCTATTCCTGCTGTTGCTCCTGGCCCTGGCGCTTTTCTTGCTGCTTCGCTCCCGCAAGACCCACAGCATGAAGGATCCGGTATGTTGCCCGATGCCGGGGACTTCCCTGGGCAGGCTTTTGCGCCTTCGCCCGTCCCCGACCCCTGCCATCCCCTGTTTCACTCCTTCCGGACATGCAAAAGCCCTTGGCCCCGGCTAACATCCGCTCCTTGCCACCCAAGTACTCCTCGTCGGATGAGGGTACGACATGCTTACCCTCATGCGCTTTGCTTTTGCCTTTCCCATTCGCGGCGCCCCGACTGACCCTCCCTCCTTGTCCCAGACTGCACGGTCCTCAACACGATTGTTGGTGCGTCTCGGCCGAAAAGCGGCCCTGGGTCTTTTTCCCTTTCCTCCTGGCCACTTGAGCTCCGGGGTTTGGCCGATTGCGCGCGGGCCCATTCTCGATGGAGGCCTTTCCCGAATGCTGACCATCCACCCTTGCCGCCGTCCTTTCTCCCCATGCACGCCTGTGCCTCCTCGAGCAGAGCTCTCCCTGCCCGGTGCCATCCAAGTGAACCTGGCCGCGGATTTTGTTCCCATCAATGAAACCCTCGGGACTGGCGCCCAAGCGACCGTCTTCGTCGCTCGCGCGGTCGGCGCCGGTATCTCCACGCGCCTTGGCTGCCCGGACACCGTTGCCATCAAGCAGCTGAAGGGTGCGTCCTTGTGTGGCGACAAGGGACCGGTGGCGGGGACAAGAGCACAGCACATGCCGCCGTACTGGCGACCCCCCGCGGGCGAGGGCAAGGAGGACCGCATCCCCTGCCCTTCGCACATCCCCCAGATGACCTGCCTCTGACGTGGTCCGATTGGCCCCTCCCCTTCCCCTTTCACATGCCGTCATCAGCCGCCAAGATCAAACCCCGACACATGGCCCTCTTCCAAAATGAGATTGCCCTCATGTGGTACGCGTCGCCCATGCCCGACTGGGGGGGGGCCTCTTCCTTCCTCTCGCCCATGGCCGACTGCCTGCTCACCCCCGCCCCCCCCCCCCCCCCCCCCCCCCCCCCCCGGCCCCCGGCCCCCGGCCCCCGGCCCCCGGCCCCCGCTGCTCCATGGCGCCAGGCTCCTGCGCGACCACGAGAACATCGCACAGCTGTATGGATATAGCGAAGCTCCGCCGGCCATCGTCATGGAGCGCTTCGACACGGATCTCGGCACGTTGCTGCATTCGGAGGTCGGCCTGTCGCTGCATGCTCGACTGGACCTTGTCCAACAGTGGGTTCTCGGGCTGGAGGCCATGCACGCCAACGGCGTGGCCCATTGCGACCTGAAGCCGGCCAATGTCTTTGTCAGCCAGAGGCCGGACGGCTCCTGGCGGGCGGCGCTCGGGGATCTCGGGACCAGCCGCAACCTGAATGGCGACCGCGCATCGGCCCTGATGGCCGAAGCGCCGGAGCTCAATGCCATGAGTGCGCGCTATGCCGGCCCCGAGGTGCTAGTCGCCTTCTCACGTCGGACTTCGGTCGAGGCGCCCCTCTACATGCCGGCCGACATGTATGCTGCGGCCATCATGCTCTGGGAATGCCTCTCTCGAGCCCTCCCCTGGGAGGGCTGCTCCTTTGACCAGATCCTCGAAAGTGTCACCGCCGGCCGGCGCCCGGAGATGAGCCCGGCTTCGGACCCGGTGGCCCGGGCAAGCCCGGCCTTTGCCCAGCGCCTGCGCGATCTGCTGCCCCAGCTGTGGGCGCACGATGCCCACACTCGGCCTCCGGCTTCGAGTCTTCGCCAATCGGTCGCCGACCTGGTGGCCATGCTCCCGAATGCGCGGTCCTGATCAAGCCATTCCCGCTCCCCCGCCCATGGTCGATCCTTCTCCACGGGGCATTTTCTTGGTCATGCATCTCAAGCGGGATGGTTCGGTTCCCGAGAGAGGGATCCCCCACCCCCAAGGAGAGACACCCCTCCTGTGCATTTTGCACAAAGACAAATACACCAAAATACAATACCACCCCCCCTCTGGCTGGCCTTCCTGCATGCTCGCCTCCCTCTCGATGTGTTTTTGGCCTCCCCCACATGTATCTCGGTGCCCCT